TGCTGGGTGGATGCCCAGGTCACTGGCGTGGGTAGGGGCAGCAGTGAGGGGTGCCCGTCGGCAGTGGGCGGCCCCGTCCTGCGGGGACCCCTCGGAGCTGGCGTGGGGTGCCCAGGGGTCCCTCCCAAGGGAGAGGCAGCCTGGCCCTGGCCCTCCACTGCCGTCCAGCTGAAGCCGAGGGGCTCGCAGGGCCCCGGGTGGCCACTGGCGGCAGCGCCCGCGTCTAGGCAGGGTGGCGCCTGCCCGCTGCGACCTGAGCTCGCACGGGCTGCTCCTACCAACACCACCAGGCTGAGCAATGCGTTGATTTGGGTCTGGATCTGGGAAACTGAGGCCGCAGAGGATGGAGGACGGGCACAGGGCGCGTAGCTAGATGGTGTGTGCCCTCCGCCGACCCCACAGGCCCGCTGCGTCTCAGGCTTCTCCGGGCCCCTAAAGGAGCACGTGACCCCGCTTCAGGGCAGACTCCCTGACGGGTGCTGCCGCCTGGGACGCACGGGGTGCTGTGTGGAGCTCACAGGCTCAGCCTGCCCCCTCCCCCCGCCGGGTTCCCCTCCCAGCCAGGAAGCTGGCACAGCCTCCTCCTCCCGCCCACGGGCAGAGGGTGCTTGGCCAGAGGTGGCACCAGGCCCCTCGGTGTTCTCCTGGGCCCACGCCCAGCGGCCAGCGATCTTGCCCCAAGCCCCGGCCTGCCCTGTGCAAACGCCGCAGGGTCCCCAGAGTGGCCGGCCGCGGCCCGAGACCTGGGAGCGCGGGGGCTGGAGGTCCAGGTGCCCCCGCCAGGCCGGCGAGCGGGGAGGAGGCGTCTGCGCTGCTCGGACCCTCGAAGCTCTCTTCCAGAGTTTCGCTGGAAGAGAGTGGACACGCTTGGAAACAAGCTTCCCAGCCGCCTGACAACGCCGGGCCTCTGTGAGCCGTCAAACTGACCCTCACCCAGACCAGCCGTCCAGCCCCCGGGGCACCCGCCCCCCGCTTCCCCCGCCCCGACCTGGCATGTCCTGCAGAACAGAGCGAGGACACACAGCTGCAGGCCACGTCCACCTCTTTCTCGCAGCAGCGATGCCCCGGCAGGAGAGACCCCGAAGGTGGGCCCCTCTGGGGGGCAGCTGCCCTGTGAGGAGCCTGGCCGTTTCCCAGGCGGGGCCAGCTGCTCCCTGCGGGCCCGGGCGCGGAGTGGAGACTCCCTGGTTCATCTCCAGGCTCCGGCTGCCCACCCCCACCCGAGCAAGCAGAATGGCTTGCAGTCTAATTTAATCACCCGCTGCGTTTCCAAAATTAATTTCCTGTTAGAAATAAATATTGTACTATGAATTATAGATCAGACCAGGCGGTAATTTACAGAGAACCTGCGAATTAAACCTGACTGCTGAGGTCTGCGGCAGGCTGAGAGGGGCCTGGCCGCCCCGTGCCTGTCCCCCAGGAGGTGGCCTGCGGGCCGGGCACCGCCGGCCGCTGGCCGCCTGGGTTCCCACATGCGGCTGCTCCCGTTGCCTGGGACTCGGCCGGACCAGCCTCTGAGGCCTGTGGCC